CCAAAAAAAAATTTTGCGCTCAAAAGGCCCGCCGTCCCCCACCCACGCGCAACCCCGGGGTGCCCGCGCGCTCATTTTTTTCCGAGCGCACGGGCCTTAAAGCGCTTTGAGCGCGTTTGAGCACGGCGCAGGGGTCTTTAAGCGCGTGCTTAAGCGTGCTTATACGGTTTCACGGTCTTTAAGCGCGCTTATACGGTTTCACAGTCTAGCATGCATATCTAGTTCATAAACAGACATAATCACACCTAACATTCATGCATTCAGCTTTCCGCACGCACATACACATCAACAAAGGAATCGATTCAATCGAGCATCCTTATGCAACAGTTCTTCTGCCAACAGCCCGGGGACGCACAAGATTTGATCGCAGGTGACCAACCAATCAGATTAATCAATACGGTCATACATCGATCTCTGAAAAGAACAAATGAAAAGTCTGAGATGCTGATCCAGAAAGGAAAAAGGCGACTTGCGCTGAATACAAAAATTGCTCAGAAGGATAGAAGAAAAGCCAAGACTGGAAGAATAAGCTCCCCACACCCCTCCCCTCTCTCTCTCTCTCTCTCTCTCTCTCTCTCTCTCTCTCCCTCTCTCTCTCTCTTTCTTCACAACATCCCGATGCGGGCAGTCCATCGCCTCGCACCCACACAGAGTTGTCACCCCAATTGATTCGAGCATGCAAGCCAAGTTCGCCCATGCGCCACAGTCTGTCGCGGCCCCACGTCAACCCCGCATGCCCAGCATCAGCTCGTCGGATCGCCCAACCCTCTACTCACCTGCCAACTCTTTCTCGTTAACCGATCCTCTCGACCACGCTAACTTCCAAAATTCTTAGAGAGGGAGTTAATCGCACTTGCGACATTTATAGCATGCGTGCGTGCGATATCCGTTATTGTGTCCGAGTAGGAGGGAGAGGAAGGAAGGAAGTGCCTACGACTGCATGGCCAGGCCGCAGGGTGGGGGACCCTGGGGGACGTTGCCTCACTCCACTCGTCGATGTGCTCATGCACGCATACAGGCCACTAGGACAGAGGAAGAGGTACGCTCGCACAGGGGCGCTACAAAAGATATCCAGAACGAGAGGATTATAGTTTCCATCATGTCCGCCAAAACAAAAATTACAGTTACACGCAAGGATTGAGGCGTGGAAAAATCAGAGCGCAGATCCTGACGCGGCAAGGCGTGCGCAAGCGAGGAGCGCCGTACAGCAGAAATTGAGGTGCGCCCAAATTCCTAATCTAAATACTAATTACAAAAAGAAATTCCGGACGAAGCAAATCCCGAGAGCCCGTGGGGGCTCGACATCAGTTGAAAATTCAAAAAGATTTTCCCTCGTGACGATCGCGACAAAATTCCATTTCCCACAGCAGAACAAGAAAGAAGCTATGTCAACAATTATCTTTCACGCTCGCTTAGGCGCGTTGAGCTACCAACCGTC